AATAATGGTTATAATAATAAAAAAAGTGTTAAGAATAATAAACATAATAACAACAATAATAACAATAACAACAATAATAACAATAATAACAATAATAACAATAACAACAATAATAACAATAATAACAATAATAACAATAATAACAATAATAGCAATAATAACAATAATAATAATAACAATAATAACAATAATAACAATAATAGTAATAATAAAAATTATAAATAACTCGTTTTTATAAACGCAAAAGCTAAATATACTAAACTAGTTAACTGATAAAACCTAACAACTAAAAATGATATAAAACAATTTAAATTGAAAATAACAAAACAGCAATAGCAACAGTTAAAAATAACAATACTTGTGATTACAACAAATATTTAAAACTAAAAAAAAATTAATAGGGGAGACCGGGGCTAGTTGCCTCTATTTTTACTCTTTGAGCTGTGTAGTCCTAACAGCAAAATTTTTTGTAAATATTAAAGTGCAGTCTTAAAGAATATGAGTTTAGGGAACATTTTAAACTTGCATTCATTATAAAAAAAGTTTCTTGGGACCCTTCTGGGTAGTGTTCGGCAAAATCAAATATACGTCAAACCTTTAAAGATTTGAATTTGAACTGTTCTTTGAGGGGATAGATTTGAATTTGATTTGACAAATATCTGGAGGATTTGGATTTGATTTTCAAATATTCACTTTGTTCTCAATTTTTGCGTTTGAAAAAAAAACGCCAAATTTTACAGGCCCGAAAACATATATATCACTTTATTCCGGGGTCTTTGCAGTGGTTTCCGGAATGGCGGTCGCCTTTCAATAACGGAAAAAAAAAAAAAAAAAAAAGAGTTTTTAATTAAAGTTTGTTAATATTAAAGAGAAAGTAAAGAGCATAGAGAAAGAAAAAAAGAAAAGAAATGTAAACAAAGTACAAGATTAAAAGAAAAAACGTAGAAAAAAATATATGTAAAAATGAAAAGAAAAAATTGCAAATACAATTTAACCACAATAAAAATGGAAAAAGTAAAACAATAACGAATCGAAAAACATTCAGAGAAAGAAACAATCATTCGAAAAAAGAAAATAATAAAAAAATATAATAATGGCTTGCTTGAAAGCAAAGAATTTTTTTTTTTAATTTTACTATAACTTATTTTTATATTTCCAGGTTTCAGGTAGATTTCCTAATTTATTTATTTGTTAATCTTTTTTTTGTCGGTTTAAGTTTGCCGTTTTGTTTGTAGTATGTTTGTGAAAACTTGTGTTGTTGTTGCTATTGTGTTTGTATTGTTTGCTGTTACTGTAGCTGTTTTTGTAAATTTGATCTGTTTATGTATGTTTTTTTTTTTTTTTTTTAAACTATATTATAATTATTTCTATTTTAATATTCGTTATTCTTATTTTCATTAATTGTTTTTCCTTGTTTTTCATTATAATAGTTGCTATATGTCATTGTTTACTTTTACGTTTTATCAGTTGTAACTGTTTGTAACTGTCTAACTTTGTTTATGTAGCTATTGTATTTATAAAGACAAGTGACTTATATATAATTATTATTATTGTTATCATTATTATTAATATTATTTTTATTATTTAAACCATTATTATTTTAATCATTTTCATTAGGTGTTTACTTAATATTAGTATATTTACTATTTGTAAACAACCTTGAAATGTATCTATTTCAGAAATATATATTGATTGATTGATTGAATGATTAATTAGTACCCCTAACCAAACTATTGTTTTGAAAGAAATCAAATATACATTCCTAATTATGTCGGATAATCCAGAACCCGAATCTTCTTCTGTTACAAAAACCACCAAACGTTCACAATCAATTGTATGGGATCATTTCACAGTTGATGAGCATGACAAAACCAAGGCCATATGCCAGCATTGTCCAAAGCACAAGAACAAGTATGCTTACAATAAAGGTGGGACAACAAATCTAATGAACCATTTAAATTCTCAACACAAAAGCAAATTACTTGGGGACAGAGAACCAAAGCAACGACGTTTAGGTGACATGATAATGACACCAATCGTTTATTCTCCAGATCTATTCAATGAATACTTAGTTAGCTGGATTGTCAAGAATGATCAATCATTTAATGAGGTAGAGTCCAGCCACTTTCGTAAACTACTCACTCTACTGAAACCAAATTTGTCAATCATGAGTGCGCGCCAATTAAAACGCCAGATAATGGACACTTACAACACCAAAAAACAATTGCTAAAGACCCTTTTTTTGAATCTTGACTCAAAGGTTTCATTCACCACTGACTGTTGGACATCACCCAACAACATTGCTTTTATGGGCATAACGGCTCATTACATTGACAAAGACTGGAACCTACATGCCAAAACTCTTGATTTCAAATCCTTGCCTGATTCCCATTCAGGTTCAAATTTATCTAATGCATTCTTGTCAGTTTTGATTGAATTCGGTCTTACAAGCAAAGGAATGGGCATTTCCTTAAATAATGCTTCCAATAATAATTCATTTATGGATTTTTTAAATTCCAAGTACGAAATTAAAACCACCTTTGAGCATATCCGGTGTTTTGCTCATGTGCTGAATTTGGGCGCGCAAGCAGGTTTGGATGATTTGAAAGATGGTCTTGTAAAACTTAGAACAGGAATTAAAAAAATCCGATCCAGTCCTCAATCATATTCTAGGTTCAAAGGTTTCCAGCAATCAAATTGCACCTTAAAACCAATACTTGATGTCCCTACAAGATGGAACTCAACAGCTGATATGCTTAAACGAGCAATGAAATTAAAAGTTGGTTTCATTGCGTATTTTTGCGATTTTGACTCAACTGCAAACAATCCAGACTGTTGTCTATCAATTTCACCAGATGTTTGGAACAGGTTTGAAACAATTGTTTTGTATCTTGAACCATTCCAGGAATTTACCCAGCTCATTAGTGGTGATTCATATTCCACATTGTCTTTGGTGGTTCCTCTCTTCAATATTCTTTTGGATCACATTACTGAATGGATGACCACAAAAACCAACCCTGAAGATAATCTACACCGCTCTACAGTTGCAGCGTTCGCAAAAATTTCAAGATATTATAATTTGACTAGTGACTGCTTTACTATCTGCACTGTCCTGGACCCAAGATTTGGTATTGAATATTACAAAAATGATAAGGGCGCAAACAGCGAGTCGTATACAAAGATTATGGTCAATTGTGAATATCAAATCAATTATGCCCCAAACAATATTACAACTGCTACAAGCATTCAAAACGTTTCAAAATATAACCCGTTCAAATCGCGTGTTTCATCAAACCCATGTAATGAGTTTGAAAACTATTGTAATGATACAAGTAAGCTAGATGGCGGCAATAATAGCAACATATTACTTTGGTGGAAATCTCGATCTGACAAATATCCAAACCTATCCAGAATGGCCAGAGATTACCTGGCCATTCCTGCTACATCTGTATCATCAGAAAGGCTCTTCTCATTAGGAAAAAATCTTATTACTGACAAAAGAAATCTTCTCTCTGCAGATACCATTCAAGCTTGCCAGTGCTTGAAGTCTTGGTTGGATTAAAAAGAATAAAAGAAGCTGTAATGTGTGAGAAATAGTAACAAATGCTGCAATATGAATAAAATTTATAGATTCAGACAACTAAAATTAATAAATGAAATAAGTTAAATAACGTTCAAATATACATCAAATCTTGGAAAGATTTGAATTTGATCTAAATTCAAAATAGGAAGATTTGAATTTGGCCATTTCAAACATTTGACGCATATTTGATCAAACTATTTGAATTTGTGCCGAACACTACTTCTGGGCCTTAAAAAAACAAAAATAAAAAAAACAGTTCTTTAACATACCCCAACCCCGAGGTAAGATTGCAAACTACAAAGATGAATATTAATGTACTATTAAACGCAAAATTTATAGAATTTTCTTTACTATTTATTAAGTTCATAAAGTGTATTATGCAAGGAATATTTTTTAACTGATTTATCAGTCATAGTTTAAATTATGTTTATATGTTATACTATGTAATGGTTTCATGCTGTATACTAGATAAATAGTTATTTTAAACAATTTATTAAAAATTATTTTAGGAAATTGTATTTTAAAACTGACAATAAAAATACGTTTTCTTCCATTGAAGATGGAACTCTAATATCCGAATTAATTTATATCACTAAATCTCGTTTATTAATTTTTAAAAAATTTGTTTAAATCATTAAATTTAAGTTCGACTGTAAAGTTAGTCAATTAGTTTTAGCGCCTTATAATGTTAGTCAACTAACATTAGTTAAACTAAAAATTTAGAAGACTATTTTTAGTAAACTTTTAGCGAAACTGTTCAGAATAACTATTTACCTAGTATAATTATGTTAGTTAGATTTAGTAATTAGTTCAATTGAACTAATTTCCAAGTTTAATTAACATATTTATACTAGGTAAATAGTTATTTTAAACAGTTTCGCTAAAAGTTTACTAAAATTTACAAAATTGAATAATTTGATCAAATAATTAAATTTAAGATTCTAAAAGTTAGTCGGTTAATTTTAGTGAATTTTAAAGTTTTTGGTTAATTTTCACAGATATAATTTAAAGTTTTTGGTTAATTTTCACAGTTATTTAACTAATTTTACTTACATTAAAAGTTAGTCAACAAATTTTATCAAACCAACAAATTAGACGACTAATTTTAGTTAAACTAAATTAATTCCCTTATCTGCACTATATTCTCGCATATAATAAGCAAACAACAGTATTCTATTTTTCTCTCGTGTAAAATGAATTTTAATCAGGAAAAAATAGTAAACAACGATCATTTTAAAATATGAATTTTATTTATTAAAAATTTCCACGTATACATTATAATGTTTATTACATATACTTAAAATACATTCATAAATGAAAAAATGACATAAAGTATATATGAAAACACGTGTGTCAAAATTAATGTACAATATAATATTTATAATAACTGATCTTTTGGATTGCATATTTTGTATTTTTATTTTTCTTTATTAAATGGCACTATTAAAATTGGAATTTGAGAATTCTGTGCAATAAAGTTACTTTTTGTTCCAAGTAGCGTTTTGCTTATTTTATCTAGATTTCTTTTCCCTGTTACGATAACACTTGCATTTTGAGCTTCTGCAACATTGCATATGGTTTGCCCAACACTACCTTGTTTTTGAGCAAGATATGGCGTAAACTTTATGTTTTCCAAAACACACCTTGACTTATATTTGTCTAAAACTTTTTCACTTTTTTTGAAGCTTTTATAAATGGAAGTGTAACGTTGCCCCTTTCCCTCAACCAACGATTCTATAGACTGTTTTGGTGTTTCTTGTACATGAACTAACAGAGCAGTGTCGTTATTTTTATGAAAATGTTTGATATACCAATCGAAGGCACGCTCGCTCTCTTTACCACTGTCAACAGCAATGCAATTTATTCTATCATCAGCCATCTCGGTAACAAAGTTAAAAATAATAAATATACTCATAAGAACCAGAGCCGGAGTTTTGGATTAGTATATAATCTAAAAAAAAATTCACTTTTTTTTTCTTTCTGCGGCACCACCAAATAAATTTTTATTTTAGTATTTCTTTTAAAAACTATAATTTTTAAATTAACTTTTTTCCAGGTGACTGCTCAAAAAGTTTTTTTTTTTAAATGCATAATATATTTTATTTTGAGTTGTGCTCATCACATGATAAAATTCCTTTGGTGACATTTATACCTCATTTATTAAATTCTCATTCTCCACTTAAAAAAAATAATACTGTATCAAATAAATATTTTATTTCTTTTCATGTTATTTGTTACTGAAAAGATGAATGACTATATTGTTAGAAAATATTTTTACATTTGGTATTCTTAGTAAAAAAATGAATACAAGTTCAAATAAAATTGTTATTATATTGTTTATTCATTTTTTACTCTTGAATAATCAAGAGCTTTCCAAAAACAATTTTTACCGGTCGAAATTAAAAAACAATTTTTACCGGTCGAAATTAAAAAACAATTTTTACCGGTCGAAATTAAAAAACAATTTTTACCGGTCGAAATTAAAAAACAATTTTTACCGGTCGAAATTAAAAAAGTCTACAATGTACAGTGGGCCAAAGGTGAGCAAATCTAAATTATATCAGTCTAAAAATGATATAATTTTTTCCCAAATTTAATTTTTGAGCTCTGTACATCAATTTTACCACAAAAATGGCCATACTTTACGTTTCAAGTATTGGTAAAAATGTAAAAAATCATATAAAAATGAAATATGGGGCCAAAACAATTTTCAACATTTTCATTTCTTAAGGGTTTATATTAGTCGATTGACATCATATAATGAAATAATAAGAAGAAATATGAAAATTTATTTTTTATGCTTACTTTTTTTCAAAGTGTTTTTTAATAAAAAAAACCCCTTAGAATGCGCAACATTTTTTTAACACTTACCTTTACACAAGCAGAAAAATACTTGACCGCACTAGGCCGCACATGTGATTTATTTTAAATTACATTCTCATATATAGATAAAAATTTACAATCAAAGTTTTTGAGCTCAGCTGAGCACAGTAGGTGCTAAGTTTTTCTATTATAAATGATATCTAAATTGTAGATTTTGCTCTAAAAAACCAAAGAAGATGCAAAAAGGACAGTTTTAATCATTTAAATCTTGTTAAAATCTGTTTTAAATAACACTTTTAATGTTATTATAAACAGTTATGGAACGTTTTATGAAGGAGGATGATAAAAAATAAGGATTCGGAAGCAAGGAACAATAAAGCCCGTTTATAATTTTTGAACGCTGAGAGATAATACTATGAGACTTAAAATTGATCAATAAAGTCTAATTGAGACTATTATTACCAGAGTTGTTAACAAGGTTAAAATTAGCAAGGCCGAGGACAAGGCCAAGGACAAGGCCAAGGACAAGGCCAAGGACAAGGCCAAGGACAAGGCCAAGGACAAGGCCAAGGACAAGGCCAAGGACAAGGCCAAGGACAAGGCCAAGGACAAGGCCAAGGACAAGGCCAAGGACAAGGCCAAGGACAAGGCCAAGGACAAGGACAAGGACAAGGCCAAGGACAAGGCCAAGGACAAGGCCAAGGACAAGGCCAAGGACAAGAATTTTGAGGTCAAGGCCAAGATTAAGAGTTTCAAGGCCAAGACGTACGCAAAGATTTTTAAGACTTTAGACTTCAATTTTTGCAATACGTTAAAGCCAGTTCTTCATAAAACTGTAAGTAGCAAGTGCTGTGAAAATGAAACCGCATTTTGTAAAAATAGGCCAAGGTTATGTTCAGAATTCAACAAAATCAATAAAAATATGTATAATTGGCTTTGGCTTTTTTTTGGCCTTTGAAAATTTGGTCTTGGCTTTGAAAATTTGGCCTTGGCTCAAGGCCAAGGCCAAAATTTTCAAGACCAAGGCCAAAGCCAACAGTTTCAAAGCCAAGGCCAAAGCCAAAGCCTAAATTTTTGTAATATTCAGAGTTTTTAGTTCTTGGCCAAGGCCAAGGACTAAAAAAACTCTGATTATTACTAGTATTTTATCAAGTTGTTGCTCTCATGTTTGGGGTAGGGTGGGGATAAAATTTTGACCTTATTTGTTCCCGGCTTCCAATCATTGCAATTATTTGCAAAGCATCATTATTTTATATAAGTATAATCATACAAATGTTTAGATTTTGCTCCATGTCTGGAAGTTAACTACCTCACAGAGCCGACGACACTGGGGGGCACGCCCCCCTTTTTTCATTTAAAGAACTTTTTTTTTTAAAGAAAATTTTAGTTATAGAGGGCTTTTTTTAGAAATTTACAATTGTGCCCTCCCACTTCGAAACCCGTGTCGTCGGCCATGCATCAAACGCCAAAAAGTGCTGGATCCGTCTCTGAAGAGAATATTTATTATTTGTATTTATGTATGCAAAAAGTTTTTATTTATGCAAAAAGAAGAATTTAGTTTAGTAAGAGAAATTAGTTTGTTTACGAGAAAATATAATTTAATTTTTCATTGTGTTGAAAGCAAGAAAACTATATTACCTAGTACTTTTTGTGTTAACGTCGTCTAAATAGCTTTTCTAAATGGTGTTTTCTAGAAAATTATAGGTAAAGTGTTAAATGTGTTTTGTTCATTTAAATAACGCCCATAAAATGGAAAAATATTAATTGTTAAAAATAGTTATTTCATACACTCTAATATAATTTTTTTACTACGCAATGAAATTCTTCAAGCCTCAAACAAACTATGATCTTTGATGAAAATCCTTTGCAGCTGCGTTACTAACATGTTTAAAAAAAAAGAGTTAAAAAAAAAGGGGGTTGATGTATTAATGTATGATATATGTCATCACATAGATTCTTGTATAAAAAAAAATATGTTAATAAATTTCAATTTTATTGAACGTTATTTGTTTTTATTCACAATATCAAATAAATTAAGTACATAAAATAAATAAAAGTCACGAAAATGTCTTGACAATACATGACCACACCTACCTGTGCAATCATAACCACCTCTGGAGATCAAATATGGGCAGATTTGATTTTCCTGATATCAATTACCTATATTTAGACATACAACATGTACCATCTAATTGAAAAACCACTGACATATGATGACATATATCATACATTAATACATCATGACCACTCCTGAAGGCCAAATATGCCCAGTTTCAACTTTGAACTTCCTGACCGTTCCATCTAAGTTAAAAACCGTTGAGAAACCCCAGGATCACCCCTGACAACACTGTGCAATGTGTTAAAAACATCTTAGGCCCAAGTAGGACATCTAAAATTATTTCTCATTTTTAGTAGATGTAATTGTTTCGGTAAAATAAAAAAAGCGTTTCGCATTTGGTCACAGAATATGGTCATTTTAATTTCGACTGACAACAATTATTTTTAGAAGTTAGAAATTTAATAAACGTTTTTTTAAATATTAGTTGTTTTTATAGAAAAAAATTTAATTAAAAAGTTATTTTTTATTTTTGTAAAAACTTTATATAAAACTCTTCGAAAGTAAATCTTTTATTGTTGAAATTTAAACGAATGTTAGCAGCCTCGGTGCTGTGGTTAGAGCGTTTGCTTTGAAACCAAAAGATCTAGGGTTCAATGCGAGCTCTGGGAAAATTTTGCGTTTTCGGTAAACCTTTATTCAAAATAACCCAAGAAGGTTTTTTTCATCTTGCTCCTAAAAAAAATATTTTAATTTGAGTAATACATAGTTTTGTTAAATTCAACGCACGCCCCTCTTTTTGTAAAAAAATAGTAGTTTTCGGACGTGAGTGTAAAAACACTTAATCAAATATTTAGATTTAGCGTATTTACTTGAAATAAGTTTTAACCTAATGACATTTGATTATATATTGTTTTAGCTTGTATCTAATAATGAGAAGATTGAATCTTTTTTTAAAAAAACATGAGTTTTTAACAAAAATCAAGAAATTTGGCGAAACCCTCATTGAATTTGATAAAACCGCATATAAAATCCTAATGATAAATTAAGTGAACTATTTTGTTCACTTAGTAATTATCAGGGCTTCTCATTTCCCGAACAAAATTCAATTCCCTGGATTCCGGGACAAAAATGTTTCATTTCCCGGGAAATCTCGTGGTTATGTAACAAGCTAGAATTTAACAAACTAGGTGGGAAAAAATATGTAAACTCAAACAAATACATAAAAAATGCGTTTTTAATACTATTATTTTTAATAAGAAGAAGATAAATAAGTTAAATACTAAATAATTCATAGAAACTAAGGCTCTCAAAACAAAATAAATATAAAATTCATTACCATTTAGTTTTATAAATATTAATTTTTAAAACAATTTAAAAAAAAACATAAATTATCGATTGCGCCATCAATTAACGGTGACTAAATTTTCGTAATAAAAAGACATGCCGCCGAAAATGCACTCTTTGAATTAATTGATGTCGGTGGGATAGTTAATAGAGCATTATATATTTGTACGCCTTTATTTTTTTGCATCATTTGTAATGTTTTAACGTCATATAATACATCTTTTGGACTCTCAATTCGACTAACATTCGTAATAGTAGCATCTAATTTTTGATGAAGTGTTAATTTATATGTAGTTAATAAATTTGGTTCGACCATAAACAACGTTTCAGTTCCATCATTACTGCATTCTAATTATTCAAAATCAGCGAAAGTACCACCTCCATCAATATAATCAACAAATAGTTTAGAAAATAATTTTTTAGCCGTAGTTTGAAGGAATGATTCGTGTTTATAATTTAATGGATTATTTAAATGTTTTAATAAGTTAAATAAATTTTTATTCTGTCGACAATTCTCTGAAACGTTTTAACCAAAAAACAATCTTTATTTTTGCGCATATAAACAGTAAATATAAACAGTAATAAACCCTCTGCGTTATGTGCCAAGTTTTTCAGTATTTTTTTAGTATTGTTGTGTTTAAAATCTCAATAAT